CGGGCAATTTCTTTTCTATTATGCTGACAGAGCTCGTTGTCGTTATCTCGGCTTCTAATCCTAACCTTTTAAGATCTCTGTAGCCATCTTCAACAATCTCCACAAACTCAACAAACCGCTTTTCTTTGCCTTCTCTTATCATCCTCGTCCTCCGTATTCCGTCAATGATTACGTCCGCGACCTTTGCTGGGTCACCGTATTTTTCGTCTAGTCTTTTCCACATTTCGCCTATGTCATCGTCGATGCTTTTGACTGCGTTTGCCGGGTCGCTGCCTAAGCACGAGCGCAATACGTATGAAACATCGTCGGCTTTTAGATGTGGTATGACTCGTTTTTCAAAGTCTCGTTTGAATTGAGGGTATGCGCGAATTTCTCCTTCGAATCGCGGCAGTTTAATTTTTTCGCGTTGCAGGCTAGATGATGCGTGGCAATCTTGTTTCAAAGGCTTTTGGTCCTTTGGTTGGATTTTCTCGCCCAGGTTTCCTATCATCTCATCATATTGGCATTGTATGCGTGCGGCGAACTTTATTGCGTTTTCCGCTGTGTCGTGATCTGCGAACTCCAAGACGTCATCGTTCGCGCTTTTACACTCTGCGCTTGCATCTTCGATCTGTTTTAAAGCTCTTTCTAACGTGTGCGAGGCAATGTTTTTAGCTTCCAGCAAATGTTTAGTATTTTCACAGACCGTTTTAAAGATCGCTTCAGCTTTCGCGCGCATCATAAGCGCTTTCTCGATTTTTCTTGCATTTTCCGCGCGCTCATTTAACTCTGTTTCATGACGTAATATATTCTCGCGCGCGAAATGTTCTTTTCTATTTAAATCTTGAATATACTTAATTTTGAGCGATGTCGCTTCGGCAAAGTGGTCCTGTAGTTCTGTTATCCATCTTTCGGCGACTTCTAGCTCCTCATCAGTTAGATATAASGTGTAGAGATCGTGTTTCCCTTCTACGATGTCCCATGCTTCGGAAAGCTTCACGTAGTTGCCTTCGACCATTTGGCGTCATTGGTCGGCATCCATTGACTTCAGGAGCTCGTTTCGCTTCCTGGTAAACTTCGCTTTGGCTGTTCGCCGAACATTCTTGGCTTCCTCGGCCATCTCGATGTCAATCCACTCGGTTTCCGGAGTTACCGTTGGCTCTACTTACCGTAAATTTTGTTTCGAGAAATGAGTCAAAAACAGTTTTTAGTCCGTAATGGGATTATACCGGGTAATACCATATTATAAGACCATAACGGAAACTACGTCATTTCAGCATAAAAGATGCGATGACAGCTATAGAACTGATTTAAGTAGTAGTACGGTCAGTTTACTTTCAAAAACATCAAATTGTAACTCGTAAGATTTTACTACAAATACAGTTTTTTGTATGCAATTTTCGTTGAGGCCGAAGTTAATGTTCGATAATGTCCAGGAATGCCAAAGGCCAAGAAGATTAGCGATACCAAAGCGAAGCAAGGATATGCTAATTGCAAAAATAATTGATTCCTTTTCTCGCAAATGTTGGCCATTTCAAATCAAAACGTGTAAAATCATAAATTAAACTAATACAAGAGAAAGAAATAGAGTGATCCCCCGAGAAAAGAGAGGGAGAAAGAAGCA